ATTGCCCACGACTGTGGCATATGGTAAAAATGGTATTTCAAATCAACAGGGAAAGGAGTGATTTTTCAGTATTTTAGGTTTTTTTCAGTATTTGGGGTTTTTATGGAGGCTTCATTGAACCACTGACCCTTGGTGACTAATTCAACCTCCAGCCCCGCTTCCCTCCCTGGAGGTAGGGGTGAGAGGCTGAAAGTTCCAACCCTCTAATCCTGTGGCTGGTTCCCTTGGCAACCAGCCCCCATCCTGTGGTTCTCCAGGGACCTTCCAAAAATCACCTCATTAACATAAACTCAGGTGTGGTTCAAAAGGGCTCGTTATGAAAAACAAAGAGCACCCCCTTGACCTTCTTTACTCTGGAGCTGTTTCAGGGAACAAAAGATGCCCCTTTAGGAGCTCTGTGCCTGGTACACAGACCAAGACCATAAGATATATCACAGCTGCTACAGGTAACTGATTGATACAGGTGAACACATCAAACTGAGGGAGGAGTAAGAGTGGGCGAGAGATGGGCATGACGAGAAGAAATAACAAAATAAAAGCAGGGCTTTTGCAGAGCCGTAATGAAGCATGTCACAATTTGAGAAGGAAGCTTAATCACCTGCTTCCTCAAGCCCTAAATCAAACACAGATTAAAAAAAAGAGAGAGTCGTGCCTGAATCTCCGAAGACATGTTGATTTCTACCTGTGTTGCTGCCCAGCACAGGAAGTTCCCTTCTCTGTTGGGGCCCGGTTTTCTCATCTGCATAATAAGCTTAATAAGAATGCTTGCCCTGGCCCTGGCCGGTTTGGCTCAGTGGTTAGAGCGTCGGCCTGTGGTCCAGAGAGACCCGGGTTCGGTTCCCGCTAAGGGCACGTACCTCGGTTGCAGTTTGTCCCTGGCCCTGGTTGGTCGTGCGGGTGGCAGCCACTCGATGTGTCCCTTTCACATCGATGTTTCTCTCTCTCTCTCTCTCTCTCTCCCTCCCTCCCACTCTATATGAACAAAAAATGGAAAAATGTCCTGGGGTGAGTGAGGATTAAAAAAAAAAAAATGCTTGCCCTGCCCATCTGTGTAGCTCAGTAGCTCAATGGTTGAACGTCGACCCATGCACCAGGAGGTCACCAGTTCAATATCCAGTCAGGGCACATGCCCAGGGTGTGGGCCTGATCCCCAGTTGGGGGCATGCAGGAGGTGGCCAATTGATGTTCTCTCTCATCGATGTTTCTACCTCTCTCTCCCTTTCCCTTCCTCTCTCTCTAAAATCAATAAAGAAAACAAAAAATGTTTTAAAAAAGTATATAGTACAATGAATGCCTATATATATAGCTTCCACCCAGATCCAACAATTGTTAAATTTGCCCTCCGTCCCAGATATACAGATTTACTACATATATGTTACTCTCTATACATCTGTAGTAGGCGGTTAGACAGGCATGAGCAGAGGAGAAACATAGGCCAGGTTTGGAAGTTCACCCGGGTGGAAAGCCCCAGGGTGACCTTTTCTCCCCTAGCATATTGCTGGTCATGCAGTTTAGACCCCCTGACCTTGCCTCCTCAGATGTGCCACTAGTCATGGGGCAGAACCCCTTAGACTCTAAGGCTTAGAGGAACAAAGGCCAACGAATAGCGTCGTATGACTCCCTTGAAAGACCACTCCCTTAAACATTGAGCCCTCAGGACAGCGAGGTTCTGAGCCCCATGGAATGATCGTGGAAGCAGAGCCTCGGTCTGTTGACCACAGAGATAGAATTTTGGTCAAACTAGAGATAACCTCTAGGCCTCAGTTCCAGGCCTAGCTGCTATCCAGGCCCAGAAAAGCAGCGAAAGCAGACCGAGCAATGCCATGGCTAACCTCAGGACCAGCTGTGCTGACAACCGACCCCCTGCCCAGCGCACCAACCAATCAGTGGAGATCACGACCCTGAGGAGACACACCTGGAAAGATGATGAATATTCTATTGAGAGCCTCCCCTGAGGCCTCCAGAGAAGAAAAACAGGACTCAGCTGGGCTCAAGAGTGCTCCGGAGCTCTCGTTCTCTCTCACGTTCTCTCTCTCGTTCTCTCTCTCGTTCTCTCTCTCGTTCTCTCTCTTTCTCTCTCTCGTTCTCTCTCACATCCTCTCTCTCGTCCTCTCTCTCATCCTCTCTCGTTCTCTCTCTCGTTCTCTCTCTCTCAGCCTCACCTTTCTCCCTCTCCTCCCCCCAGGCGCTTTTCTTTGCCTTTCTTTCTCCTGACCTCCAAGAGCCCTTCTTTTGCCTCTGTAACTTGCTTCCGAAGCCCACACAGCCCAGCATTCACTTCTTCCATGGCTCACTTCTTCGACCTCTGTGACTTTCTAAATAAACGTTTGCTTGTATTTGAGTCTTGACTCTGAATTCTTTCTTAGCCAAAACTCAAGGACCGATGCAACACCCGGTGCTGTTTCACTGCTAACACATCTATATACACATACATGTATGTGTATGTAATATATATGCTTATATAATGGTATTTTAAGTATTACATATTTTATATAATATATATTTGTGGGAGACTTTTTGCATGGCGTCAATTTTGTTATAATCTGCTCTGCCATCGCCTGCCCCAAGGCAGGATATCTCTGCATTCTGCATTTCTTTATCTCTGCATTTTGCATTTCTTTAAGTAACCATTTACTCATCAGCCAGTCTTTACTGACCTTTTGTTCCTTTTGTAGTATTCCCTAGAATTGCTTCCGGCAAGCCTGGTGCTTGGCAACAGGTGCTTCTTGCCCTATATATTGTGTGAATTACCCCTGAATAAACGAGACTTGATCAGAGCCCTGTCTTGTCTCCATTTCTCGTGTCTCTTGTCCCTCCTCATCCTCACTCCCCCTCTGGAGTCCTCGTTGCTCAACCTGCGGGACGGGTCATATATTAATATATATATTTACATTTCTCTCCCCTTTGAAAAGCAGACATAAAGTGGGAAGGGCTTGCTTCATCCCTTTGAAAGCATGTTCTTGCTCATCCACTCATCATCTCCCCTGGTCCCCAGAGGTGGGCAGGGCAAGCATTTTTTTTTTTTTTTAAAGAAAGCCGAGAAGGAAAATACATATATTTTTTTCTTTATTGATTTTTAGAGAGAAAGAAATGAAGGGAGAGAGAGATAGGAACATCGATGAAAGAGACTATCGATTGGCCACCTCCTCCATGCCCCCCACTGAGGATTTGGCCCACAACTTGGGCCTGTGCCCTGACCAGGAATCAAACCAGCGACTTCTTGGTGCATGGGTCGATGCTCAACCACTGAGCCACACCGGCCGGGCTGTAGCCATTTCTATAGTAAAAAACTGGGGAGGTAAAGAGCCTATCCACGGCTAGGCCTGACTGGGACTTGCTGACTGGGCTCCAGTTGGACCCAATCATGTCCCCCTCTCCTCTGTGTCTGGGCAGAACAGTTCTGGTCGTGTGCTCTCCGAGGCCCACATATTACTCAAAATTCTTCCTGTCTGACCTCCGCGTCCTCTAAGAGCTGATTTCAGGATGACCTGCATCTGAAACGCAGCGGTGTCACTGCCATTGGGCTGAAATGGCTGCTCTGCGGAGGGCCCTGTGCAAGACACTGGGAGCCCCCCTCCCCAAGCTAGGGCCAGTCTCTGCCTTCAGGGAGCATTCAGCAGGAGGAGGGCCAGGTGCGCAGAGGGTGCGCTCGATGGAGCACATCCCTGTTACAATGATTAGAAACGGCAGGTGCAGGCCAGGTGCTGGGGGAGCATGTAGGGGAGGTGCCAAGGCCAGCCAGGGCGCATTTCTAATAGTGCCCAGCCTTGGGGTAAGTAGGAGGAAAGTTCGCTGGGTATTGGGAGTAGTGAGGGCCCGTTGGGAGAGCCAGCCTGAGCAAGGCGCAGGGGCGAGAGGTGGGCAGCAACAGGAGCGGGTAAGAGGTGGCAGCTGAGGCCCACCCCCTGCACGCTCCGGATTCCCCACCTCAGCTGCCTTTTCTGAGCCTTTGCTCTGGTTTTGGCCCCTGGTTCCTTTGGGGCTGAGTCAACCACTGAAGAAATAGAGTAATTTTGTCTAGAAAAGTCTGACACCATCTGCTAGCATGTCGGAGTAAAGAGTTGGTCACAAAAAATCTAGGTGATTACGTAGGGTTGGCCGGAATATTTTCCTTTTCTGCAGTTCACAGTAATAAACACTTGGCAGTTTATTTTATTTTATTTTACTTGGCACAGTTTACGTATTTTTGCAAAGAAAAATAGTGTATGTGGGCTGGCAATTAAAGAGAGTATAAATGCATTATAATAACTAGAAAGTACTTATAATGGTTTTAAAATTTTTTTAAGTACTCCCAAAAGGAGATGAAGTTTGGGAGGGTATCTCTGGCCTGGTGCAGACACCGGTCTGACGGGGCTGGTGTCCGAGGTAGGGAACCCATGCGGGGCGGCTGCTCCAACCCAGATGAGATGGGGTCAGTTCACTCTGCCCCCTGCCCAGGGCCCCATCAGGAATCTTCTGTGTTGAGGAGGGTTGTTCCGCCCTGGCAGTGGCCACAGGTGGAAGAAGGAGAGAGGGCAGTTCACCTGGATGAGGAGAGGAGGGAGGGTGATGTCGGGGTGCCCCCTCCAATCTTGCCTTTGGGTGTGATCCTCTAATCCGGCTTGGCTCTGGCTGGCTGGGTGATCTTGAACAAGCCCCCTTCCCCTCCCTATGCTTCACCTAGAAAATGAGGTTACCCCCTTCTGCACAGGAGAGCTATGGAAAGCTCTAGTTGCCAGGTTGGGGGCTGTTTGGAAGAGAAGGTTCCACAGGATGGGGCAGGACTGTCACAGGGCTGCTCCCTCACTCCGTGGCCCCTCCCTGGCCCTCCCAGAGTGGAGGTGAGGGTGTCCGGGCTTGTCTCGGTGTCAGCAACTTATTGTTCTCTCTAGACCCCTCCCTGGCAATGCCAAATCTATGGGGCCAGCAGATTCTGCCCCCAAACCTGTCCAACCAGTTGTTTGGGAGGAGGGGGCACCTGGGAGGGGCAGGGGAAGGTATCAGAAGCACCCTCCCCCAGCCCAGCCCAGACAAGGAGCTCTGAGCCCTGGACACTGCAGACAGACCCTCTGACCAACAGTTGGACGCTTGGCCTGGCCATGGGGCTCAGTGGCGGAAAGTCTGGGCTGCTGATGCCGCCATTGCTGGTGCTGATCTGCCTGCAGCGGGGGACAGGCCTGGGTGAGTGAGAGTGGGGTGGGGCAGGGGTGCCCACTGTGCCTGAGGCTTCAGGAGGACAGACCTCACCTCCCCCAGCTAGCTCCCAAGCCTCAAGTCTGGGGACTGGGTCCTGGGTGGGTCAGGAGAGACAGCTCATCAAAGAGGTCACAAGACAGACACCTATCTGCACCCCGAGACAGGGGAGTGAGTAATGCTTTCTCTCTCTCTGGGGTTTCCATCTCCGTGCACCCTGAGCCCGCACCCCAGTTCTCACCAAAGGGTTTCCCTCCTCCCATCTTTGCCCTCCTTCTGTCCCTGAGCAAAGTTTAAAAGAAGTCTGCAAAGGCAACCCCAAAAGGAAGGTCTCTGAGGGAGGCTGCCGGCACTGTTCACGGTGGGCTCCTAAATTAGAGGGACTTAGAGATGCAGTCTCCCCACCTCTGCTGTTCCACGCCTTTCCCCTCATTACCCAAACATTAAGTACTTGCTGTATGCAGTGTGCACGTAGAGACAGGAGGGTTCTAGCACTGAGCCTTAGGAGTTAAGTGGAATTAAATGGAAATGAATTTAATTGAACTGAATTGAACCAAAAGTGGGGAGAGAGTTCTGGAGACTTGCGTAAAAACTCAGCTCAGTTTCCTGCTGCTCTCTGGTGTTTGGGACTGGGGGGGGGGGGGGCACTGCTCTCAAGGGGCCTGGGAGAACTTAGAAGCTCTGAGTTTCCCCAGCAGCAGGACGACACAGGCATGGGGGCCCAGCTTCTTGTCCTTTCCAGTTGTCCCTGCCCTTTCTCAGTCTGTGAGGGGCTGAGAGGGGGTCAAGTTCCAAAAGGGAAAGGTGCCTTTGGGCGGGGTGGGTGGTGGCAGAGCACTGGGTGGGGAGGAGAGGGTGCCCTAGGCTCTGAGCCTGGACACAGCCCCCTTCTTGGTGGGCCACATCCAGGCTTGAGGACTTGGAGGGGAACTTCCTCTGTCACCTCCCACCCGCCATTCATTTCTCTCATGAAACAAACCAATCTGGACCATGTGGGTGGACTGGAGGGACTTGAGAAGCCCAGTAAACTGAGGCACCAGAGGGTTCAGGCTCCCCCGAATCTGAATCTCACCCCAACAAGGCCTAAGACCCCTTCCCCAGGAGAACTGTGCCTGCTGCTGGAAGGAGGGGCTCCTGGGACTCTGCCCACCACACGGAGACCCCAGGTAGGGCAGGGCCAGGTGGGTGTCCCCAGGCCTCCCACAGTGTCCATCCCAGTAGGCTTCCGAGGCAGGGGCCAGGGCTGGACTCAGGCCACCCACCCATGCTCATGGGCACAGAGTTGCCAGGCAGTCCTTCTGGTTAATGTCTGAACAAAGTTCCCAGGAAAAGCCCAACCGCCTCCCTTAGTCTAGGGCCCCCAGGGCAGGGCCATGCCTCTCCCTCAGATTGGGCTCCCAGGACCATGTCTTCCCCCTCAGTCTGGGCTCCCAGGGCTGTGCTCTCTCCCCTCAGCCTGGGTTGTAGGGGCTTAGTTTTCTGGCTGAGCCTCTTCTCTCTGACCCCCACCGGCCCAGAGCGCATCAACTACGTGCCCCAGCTCTCAAGTGCGGCTCTGGCGGGGACACTCACCCAGTCCACCCTCACGCTGGAGCAGCCGCGGGGCCAGTTCAGTCACCTCAACATCTCCGACTTTGACCCCATCTGGCTGGTGGTGGCCTCGAGCAATGGTGGGTACCACTGGGCAAGCCTTGGCTTCCCCTCTGTGAAATGGGCACACACCGGGAGGAGCAGCAGGGGTGGAAGGAGTAGAGAAGGTGCTGCCAAGGATGTGGCCGGGAGGGGGCTGCCGTCTGGCCTGGTGGGATGAGTTGGAGCCCTGCCCATGTGGCCCCCATGCCATATGGGGCCAGATGAGCAGGTCACACTCTAGGCCTGGGGGCCAGAGGGGCTCCTGAGGACGGGGTGGGCCAGCCCCTATGTTCATAGCCACCATTAACCACCATCTGACTCGAATGCCACCCTTAGCCGCCAAGAACTTCACTGCCCCACAGAGGGTGGCGGACACCCCAGTTCCTGCTGACTTCCCCCAGAGGGGCTACTACCTCACGATGATGGCCAACCGGGCACTCTATCCAGGTAGCCAGCCTGGCAACCAGCTCCAGGTCCTCCGTGTCGGCAATGACACCCACTGCTTCCCAGTCACAAGGGGCTGCAATCACCCCCTGCCGGGCCCGGGTCCCTACCGGTGAGCAGCTCTGCCAAGTCCTGCTGTGGTGGGTGTGCTCCTGGCTGTGCCCAAACCTGAGACCAGGGCAGCTCCCAGCTGGGTGCCTGGGATCCCGGCTCTAGTTCTACAAACAGGAGGAGGCCTGGGTGAATTCTCCTGTCTTTCTTGAGCAGAGGGTCCCTGACTTGAGCCCCTGCCCCTATGGGCATTTGGATCCTACCAGTAGAGTCTCCCCATCCAGGCAGGGTGTACCCCTGGGAGGGACTGGCCCCTTGAACCATCTCTCCTCACTCAGGGCTTGATTCACTGATGTTTAGTGCTGGAGGATCTAGTCCACTCCATATACATTTCCCAAGTGAGAACACTGAGGCCCAGAGAGGGTGAGGGGTACACAGAAGGCCACACAGCTGGGAAATGTCATAGCTGGCATTGGAGCCTCTCCAGGTGGGGTCCAAGACTATGCTTTAAGCCCCAGTCCCTGCCCCCCATCCGCCAGGCCCTGGGAATCAAGGGGGCAGACTGATAGGCACCAGGGCCCAAGCATTCAGGACCCCAGGACCCTCACCCCCAATGTTGGGTCTTCTGTTCAGAGTGAAGTTCCTGGTGATGAGTGACAGAGGCCCTGTGGCTGAGACAGAGTGGTCCAATGATACCCATCTGCAGCAAGGTATGGGGCCAGATGAGCAAGTCGCACCCTAGGGAGATCCTGAGCACTGGGTATGGGCCAGCCCCTGTCAGTCAGAGCCACCATTACCATTTTGCTGACTGCAGGTACCCCTTCCCCAGCCTGGGTGTGAGGTGGTTGATCTGGAGGCTGTTCCAGGTCCCCTTCTCCTGACAGATCTCTCTCTTCCCTCCCTACATGGCCTGCCCTGCCTGCCTGTGGGGTCCCCTCATGCCCTCAGCGGAGGCACTCCAGGCTGCCCCCGAGCTCCTGAGTGCGGGAACAGTGGTCATCATTGCCACCCTGTCAGTCTTGCTGGCTGTTCTCCTCACCGCCCTCCTGGCCCTGCTCATCTACACCTGGTAAGTGAACAGCCAAGAGATCCCTGACCTGCACCGCCTTTATCCCCTTCTCTCCATCCCTCAATTCTTCTGCAGAAGCCCCCGGCCCAGGCCCCCAGCCCAGCTCCCCTTTGCTAGCCATTCTGGAGTGGCTTTCCCTGAAGGCCAGGCATGGGTAACAATTATTGAGCAAGGAATCTCCAAGGTTCCAGAACCTCTTAACTTCCACGTTCCCTTGTGTCTCTCCCTGTTACCTGCCCAAAGGGTCCACAATTTCTGAATGTGCACCACCGCCCCCTGGTGGCAACAACTGGAATTGTAGCGGGGGCTGGTGGCAGACACTGGAGTTGGGAGTCACCCAGGTGGAGGTGATTTGCTTTTAGAAAAAGTGTTAAGCTTTGCCTCAGGTCGTTCATTCAGAGCTCAGATGGCCAGGCCTGGTGGAGAGGGGGTGTCCACAAGGCCACCTAGAGGAAAGGGGAAGGTGGAGGTGCTGGGGCAGGAGGGTTGTTGGCAACCAGGCAAGGCCTGGCACTGATTCCCAGCTGAGGAAATGGCTGTATTGAAGGCCAGAGGGAGCTGGTGGTGGATTTTGATTAGGGGAGACATCCTGGGGTGCGGAAAGTGGAAGAAGGGAACATGGGGGCTGGGTGATGACGCAGGCCAGGGAGGGAGATCTGGCTTTGTGAAGTTCAGAGGAAGAGTCTGGTCCCTTTGGTTAATCCAGCCCGGCCAGTGGAGCCTCAGTTGCTCCAGGGTTTTATGCCTAGAGCTGCAAGCTAGAGTCTAGGCATAGTCAGGGGAATCAGGCCCTGTGTTCACTCCCTCTCCCTCTCTCCTCCCTGTCCCCCACCCAAGCTACGACACCTGTGGGAGCACCCCCATTTCGGGACCAGGGGAGTTGGTGTGCATGAGAAGATATAACCCCCACTACATGTTCAGCCCTCCAGCTATGGGGGGCTCCTGAGTGGCTCCAGGGGATTCCCATCTGCCCCTCAACCTCCTCCCTGGTCCAGGCTGCAGAGCCTGGGCTAGTAGCATGTCCTGCAGCTTCTGGAGCTCAGAAATAAATGTCCCCAACACTGCCCTGTACATCTGTGTCATTGTATACCTGGTAGTCTCCCCATCCGCTGCCCCCAGATCCTTGCCAGGGGAAGGATATAGTACTGGGGCTGAGGCCCAGGGTCCTAGACCAGCTAAGTCATCAAGGGCAGGGCAAGCCTCTCTTCAGGCCTCAGTGTCCCTATCTGTAAAATGAGGATGATCACACTGCCCACTGGGCAGAAATGAGTCCAAACCAGGAGGTGAAGGGCTGCCCCTGCTGCCCTTCACCCCCAGTATCCTCCTTGTGGCTCCTCTCTCCAGCTGGCCTCGCCTCCTGGCTGGAGGATCGAGCCATTCACCTCCCCTTTCTCCAATTCCTGCCCAAGAGGTGCAGCTTCTAAGCTTCACTGGCCCCTGTGATTACTCTGGGCCTAGGGGGCGGGAAGTGTATGTGAAACTCAACTCCTAGAGAAGACTGGGTGCAGCCCAGAGCAAACTGCAGCCCTGAACCTAATCCAGGCACCCAGCGTTTTCATCATCGGCCCCACTCCCTGCCCTGAGAAGGGCTGCAGGTGACTGGAGCAAGGTTCTGCCCTCAGGTTGCCCACCATTGTGGGGGAGAAGAGGGTTATTACCATGCACAAGGGTAGAGAGAACACAGGCACTGAGGCTCAGAGGAGGCTTCCTAAGCAGGTGTGGCCCTGGACAAGGGGCAGCACTGTGCCAGGTGGACATGGGAAGGATGCCCAAGTGAGAGCAACAGCTTGTGCATAGACCTGGAAGCAACTGGGTGGGCAGGTTGGGGGCAGCTAGAGGGTGGCATGGAGGGTGGGGAAGGTCAGGAGGTACCCCATGCCAGGTGGAGGGCCTCACCCACTGGGGCAGGGGATCAAGGAAGGAGGGTGCTGGCTGGCTATCCAGGTGCCTGTCTCTGGGATGTACGTGGCCTAATTGGTTTATTAGTGTCACAAACATCCTGCTCCTGTTATGCAGGAAATGCTCACATGACCCTGGGGGAGCCAGGCTGGGAGGGGCAGGGAGGGAAGGAAGGAAGCAAACAGACTTCCAATTTGTCTTGTTCTTTCCACAGCCTTTTCAGAGCCACCATGAGCCCTGCCCTTGGGGCTGGGTGACCCTGGACAGATCACTTACCCTCTCTGGGCCTCAGTGTCCCTCTATGTAAAAAGCGCAGATTGAACTAGGTGACCTTAAGGCCTTGCACTCCATAAACCTACACCTTGTGTGGGTTGGGCCCTGGCAGGAAACAGATGGCTTGACTCTAGCAGGGCAATTGAGAGAGTTTACCAAGGTGTGGGTAGCGTTAGGGGAACCAACAGGAGAAGGTGACCTAAGGCTCTGATGGGGCCATGAGCACTCCTGTACCTGAAGGGCTGACATGATGGGAGGAAGTGGTGTTTCCAAGCCAGTGAGTGGGAGCCATGGGCAGGATCCACCTGGCGGAAGCTGGGGCTGTAGGTAGAGAAATGCGGTCACTGGAGGGAGCTGGTGAGTAAATACCCCTGCCTGGGTCAGCCTCCTGGGCCCAGAGCAGGAATGAACTTAGAGGGCACTGTAACTTTTATTCTCACAGCACTTCTGACACCACATGTGTGGGTTTTTCACACCAACCTATTCTCCAACACTCTGGTCACCAACTGAGGGTCCTATGGTTGAACTCAATTCTGACACTGACTACTTAGAGTTAGTGCAGACCCTACAGTTAAAGGGCTCAGTCCCACAGGACTGCCCCCTTCAGACCCCAGTTGCAAGTAGCACGTGCCCGCGGTACTCACATTTCCATCCAATTTGGTTATACATCGGGGATTCCCAGGACCACTCCTCAGTTTCGATAACTTGCTAGAACGGCTCACAGAACTCAGGAAAACAGTTACTGAGGATTACCGGTTTGTAACAAAGGATAGAGCTCAGGAACAGTAACACAGAGATGCACGGGCTGGGTGTGAGGGGTGAGCGGGGCTTCCGTGCCCCCTCTGAGTGTGCCACTCTCCCACACCTCTAGACACCAACCTAGAAGCTCTCTGAACCCCATTGTCTGGGTTTTTATGGAGGTTCCATTACCAGCCATGATTGTTTAAATCATTGGCCATTGGTGATTGAATCCATTCTCCAACCCCTCTCCCCTACCAGGACATTATTGGGGTAGCGGGTGGGACTGAAAGTTCCAACTCTCTAATCCCACGGTTCGTGCCTCTGGGGACCAGCCTGCATCCTGAAGCTATCTCGGGGCTCACCTCATCAAGCGTAAACTCAGGCAGGTTAAAAGGGGTTCATTATGAACAACAAAAGATGCCCCTTTCACCCCTACCACTCAAAATTCCAAGTTTAAAAAGAAAAATTTTTCTTTATTGATTTTAGAGAGAGAGGAAGGGAGAGGGAGAGAGAGAAACATTGATGAGAGAGAACATCAATTGGCCACCTCCTGCATGCCCCCAACTGGGGATCAGGTCCAAAACCTGGGCATGTGCCCTGACCGGGAACTGAACCGGCGACCTCTTGATGCATGGGTTGATGCTCAACCACTGACCACACTGGCCGGGTGAAACTCCAGGAGTTTTAGTAGCTCTGTGCCAGGAAACAAGGACAAAGACCAAATAGATCAGTAGTCCCCTATCCACAGGGGTGTGCTCCAGGACTCCTGCTGGATGCCTGAAGACTCAGATGGTATCGAGCCCTCTATACACTGTTATACATAATTAGGCACAATGATTAATAATAAAACAGAAGAGCCGATCGGATCAGTGTGATGGCTACTCAGGGACTGAGGCGTGAGGAGCAGAGGCAGCGTGAACACGCAGGACAGGGAGGATTCCCATCCCCAGCTGGATGGGGCAGGACTTAATAATGCTGCTCACAAAGACGAACAATTTAAAACGTATGAATGGTTTATGTCTGGAATTTTCCATTTTGTAATTTTGGACCCCAGTTGACTGCAGGTAACTGAATCTGTGAATAAGGGAGGTCGACAGTGTTTTTTATTGTATCACAATATCACAGAGGACCCTTTGTTTGATCCTGTGGAATCAGACCCTCCCCCTTATGGTCCCCAGACTGGAGAAGGGTAGACAGATGACCACACAGTCCTGCCCCGGGACAGAGGGGCTGCCTGAGGCCAGCGAGGGGACTCTGTAGGATCTGATCCCAGAGGAATAGAGGACTGAGATCCTGGTTGCCTCTAACTGGATATCCCCTCAGGCCACCATGCCTCCTCCACAGCCCTGCACCTCCTGGTTCTGAGGTCCCCTAGCCCTCAGGCCAAAGGCTGGAGAAGACCCCCATCAACTTCTCTCCCTGGGGACATGTGAGAGACAGAGCCTGGCCACAAAGATTTAAGCGACTTCCTTGGAACCTGCCCCATGCTGAGCCCAGAGCCCAACCTCAGGGCCTGGGAGAGAGCCAGTATGGTATTCTCTCCTGCCTGAATTCCCATGGGGATCCCAACTGTGCCTGGGTTTGCTTCTCTGGGCTCTTCTGGGGCCTGGAGCATGAGCTGGTAGGTGACTCTAACCACAGGGTGTGGCTGCACCGACTCACTCAGCACTCCAGCTCTCAGAGGCACAGACCTGGGAAAACAGACTCAGTGACAATGGTCATGAAGTGATGTCCAGTGGGCCGTGTCACCTGATAGCCTGATAAATGGAAAAATGGATGGGGGGAGGGGGCCTGCTGCATCCCTCACTGCCTCTTTCTGTTGCCCTCTCTGTCTTCCTGGCTGTCTGTCTCTCTGTCCCCTTCTCTTGTATTTCTTTGCCTGTTTCTCACCATCTCTTGTCTCTATTTTTAATGTGGACAAGCCATGGGAACTCACTTCCTGGGGGGAAGCTGGCTGTGCTGGCCCAGAGGTGGGCACAGCTGTTTCCCAGTAAACACGAGATCAAATCAGAAAGCTGATTGCAGGTTTGGGCTCAGTAGGGAAAAGGGGCAAAAATAGAGCAGAAAGAAGGAGAAAGAAAGAGAATGTATGTCAGGGACAGGACTGTTCACAGCCCATCACCCCAAACTGGTAGATACAGAGGGGGTCACCCCTTGTTTCCTCTCCTGCTGGCCCTGCCCCCAATGCCTTCTGCAGCCTCTAGTCCTGCTGTGCTGTCTCCATGCCCTGGTCCCTTCTGCAAACACCCAGGTGTCCCCTGCAGCAGGAGCTAGGTGACTAAAGTGGACTGTTGTAGAAAGTTAGGTAGCCCTGCCTCCCACAAATGTGTACTTGTACCCGCTCTTTGGCATGGGACCTGGGGCTCTCCTAGGAATGCAGGCCCATGCAGAGGGTTCCGGTGGTGCTGGAAACCAGGAGGGCAGGAGGGGCTCTGAGGCCCCGGAGAAGAAGGAATCAGCTGGTCTTGGAGTCTGGGGGCTGCTTCTGGGTCGGACCCCATCAGCTCCCTGGGGGATGTTTCTACCTCAGGGCACAAAGATGCAAGGGACATGCCCTGAGAGAGCCTCCCTGGGAGGATATTTCAGGCCAAGATGCTAGCTATTCCTGGGGTCCCCCTGGGGACTTGCAGGATGCCGGGGACATGGTGTTGCAGAGGCTGGAATTCCGCTTGCTGGGAGGTTTGGACTGCCCAGAGTCAGACCCTGTCACTGGGGCGATGGCCCAAGGGTTCACGTGCATTCCTTTTGCCCTTCTGCTGTCCCCACCTTCCATCCCTTTCCTGGAGCCCAAATCCCCCTGGTCCTTCACGCCCCGCTCATATGTCACCTTCTCCTTGTGGCCAACTGCCACTGCAAGTTATCTGTACCCTGTGAATCTCAAGGGTGAATCTCAAGGACCCCAAGAACATCTCCTATCTGAGCTGCAGAAATAGGGATGGGAGACTCAGACCCCCCCCTCCCCCCGTCAGCCACCCTGGGTCACTGCAATCCAACCCAGAGAAGGCCACACACAGAAGGATATGGTGACTCAGAGGAGGGGCTGACCCCTGCACAGCATTTACTGGACACCAGGCACTGGCCTGAAAAATTCACAGATGTGAACCCCAAAATCCTTGGGGCATTCCCATGATTAGCCTCCTTTTACAGATGAAAAAA